ACCATGGTTACCTACACCATTCTGAGGGCAGAGACACTAGCTTAAAACCGACAACCCCACCTACTGAATGAGAAGAGAAGCAGGAAAAAAAAAACGAATCTCAAAAACTACCAACAACCCTGGTTTCTTCTTTCGAATATTTTTTTCTTTATCTTTCTCTTCTATCTTTCTATCCTCTAGCCCTCACATCCCCAACATATGTGAAATCAAGAACTTTGCATGAAATAGAACTTTGAGGACTGAGTCACCTGAATTATATAATATAGAGAAGTTGCATAAGCCCCCCCCCTTTCTTTTTCTTCTCTCTTTTCTTTCTTTTTTCTTTTTTTTCCTTATTTTGTTCTTTCTTCTTCTTTCACCCTCCAAATTTTACTTTTTTTACATCCTGTATTTTTCTAAATAAATATGTGTGTTTGTTTTATGCACTGTACTATCTTCCCATGTACTTGTCTACCCTAAATTACTTTATTTCTATTCCCCTGCTACTAACCCTCTTCATTAGACTTCTCCTTCACATTTTCTAAGATATATTAACTCTATACCCTCACATTTTTCCTTCTCAGCATATCGTCCTACACCCAACCCCTAGTTCATTGTCCACTTCCAGATACTGTAAGCCTTTTTATGAAACTACTGATTATATTTTAAATAATAATTGAATCCAACATTTCTGGACACTGAGACTAAACTGTAAATGTCTTAATAACAACAATTTGTTCATAGGTGATGTATTGTTGATATTGGGATATGTTATCATTGTCCTTCCCCACAAAGGAGGGATCTTGGAACCCTACAAGAGCACTACAAATCTATAGGGTAAAAACAATAACACACCAGACCCACAGAACTGGAAACGAAGACACACAAGTAACATGAAAAGACAAGGGAAGAAAGTACCACAAACAAATCAAGACAACACATTATGAGAATCATTGGCAAGCTACAGCAGAAAAAATGACAGAGAAAGATTTCAGGATATACATGGTTAAAATGTTCTGTGAACTCAAAGAAGACATAAGAGAACAAATACAATCAGTGAAAGATCACTTCAACAATGAGCCTGGCTCAATCCAAAAGATCACCTCATCAGGGAGATAGAGGTTCTCAGAGAGAGAGAGAGAGAGAGAGAGAGAGAGAGAGAGAGAGAAACAGAAGTCCTTGAAATGAAAGAAATAATAAACCAAATTAAAACTCAAATGAAAGCATCACCAACAGAGTAGACCACTTGGAAGATAGGACATCAGACAATGAAGATAAAATATATCATCTTGAAAAGAACATAGACCACACAGCAAAAAAGGTAAGAAACCAAGAGCAGAACATTCAAGAAATATGGGATAGCAAAAAAAGACCAAATTTAAGAGTTATTGGGATAGAGGAAGGCACAGAGGTCCAAACCAAAGGAATGAACAATCTATTCAATGAAACAATACCAGAAAAGTTTCCAAACATGAAGAATGAATGGGAAATCCAAATTCAAGAAGCCTACAGGATGCCAAATGTACAAAATCACCACAGATCCACACCAAGGCACATTAAAATGAAAATGCCTAGCATACAGAATAAGGAGAGAATTTTAAAAGCCACAAGAGAAAGAAATCAGATTACATATAGGGGAAAACCAATTAGAGTAATGGCAGATTTTTCAACACAGACCTTGAAAGATAGAAGATCCTGGAGCAAAATATATCAAGCTCTGAAAGATAATGGGTGCCAACCAAGAATCTTGTATCCAGCAAAATTAAGCTTTAGATTTGAAGACTAAATAAAAACTTTCCACGATAAACAAAAGTTAAAAGAATTTATAGCTAGAAAACTGGCACTACAAAACAACCTTGGCAAAATATTCCATGAAAAGGAAATGAAAAAAAACAATAAAAATCAGCAGAGGGAGGTATTATACTAAAAGAAAAATTAATCAAAGAGGAAAACCAAGTCAAGTTAAGTAACAAAAATAAACAAATATGGCTGGAAATACTAACCATGTCTCAATAATAACCCTAAATGTTAACAGCTTAAACTTACCAATCAAAAGACATAGGCAAGGAGATTGGATTAAAAAAGACCCAACAATATGCTGCCTCCAGGAGACTCATCTGACAGGAAAAGACATACACAGACTGAAGGTGAAAGGTTGGGAAAAATCATATCACTCACATGGACTGCAGAAGTAAGCAGGGGTTTCCATCCTCATATCAAATAAAGTAGACTTCAAGCCAAAATTAATCAAAAGGGATAAAGATGAACATTACATACTTCTCAAGGGAATGATACAACAATAAGACATAACAATCATAAATACATATGCCCCAAACAATGGTGTAGCTATTTTCATCAAACTCTTCTCAAGTTTGAGACTCAAATTGACCACAACACAATAATCTTGGGTGACTTTAACACACTTCTCTCACCATTAGATAGATCTTACAAACAAAAGTTGAATAAAGAAACTAGAGAACTTAATAACACAATCAATAACTTAGACTTAACTGACATATGTAGAATATTTCCATCTGCATTAAGCAGATACACATTCTTCTCAGAAGCACATGGATCCTTCTCTAAAATAGACCATATACTATGCCACAAAGCAATTCTTAGCAAATACAAAAATGTAGAGATACTACCATGCATTTTATCAGATTATAATGGAATGAAATAGGAAATCAATGACAAAATAAAAAGTAAAAATTTCTCCATCACCTGGAGACTAAACAATATGCTACTGAATGGACAATGGGTTACAGAAGACATCAAGGAGGAGATTAAAAAATTCTTAGAGGTAAATGAGAACATAGACACAACATATCGAAATCTCTGGGACACTATGAAAGCAGTACCAAGAGGAAAATTAATTGCATGGAGTTCATTCCTTAAAACAAAAAAAAAGTCAACAAATAAATAGCCTCACACTACATCTCAAAGTCCTAGAAAAAGAAGAACAAATCAGTAGCAAAAACGGTAGAAGGCAAGAAATAATTAAAATTAGAATGAAATCGAAACAAAAGAAACAACTGAAAAAATTGACAAAACAAAAAGTTGGTTCTTTGAAAAAATAAATAAAATTGACAGAACCTTAGCCATTCTAATGAAGAGAAGGAGAGAACTCAAATTTCCAGCATTTGTAATGAAAAAGGTAATATCACAACAGACACTACAGAAATACAGAGGATAATTAGAAATTAGTTTGAAATCTTATACTCAATAAAATAGAAGACATTGAAGGCATCAACAAATTTCTTAAGTCACACAATTTGCCAGATTGAGTCAGGAAGATATACATAATTTAAACAGACCATCTAACATTGACTATCTAACATAATCTATCTAACATTGCAATATTATTTCCCCACATTTACACATTAGAGGATCCAGGGCCAGAAAAGTTAATTTCTTAAAAGCAGATTCCCAATTACATCTCAAATTCATGAACTTACATATTCTATATTACTACTCTCTTATTAATTAGGTTATAATCTTGAGCAAATTGTTGATCTCCTACATCTCAGTTGCACTAGTTATCAGATAAGGTTTTTTCACTGGGTAATCTTCCTAGGATGCTTGGTAGCTCTAAGCCCTTATTTTCAATACCAGAACATTTTGGATTTTCTTATAAATAAACTTCTCACTGCTTTTCTTTTTAATATGATAAACAAAGTCAAAACATACTTACATAAAGAATGACAGAAAGGATAAGGTGGAGTCATGTTAGTGAGTATGAAGTAAGAAACTTAGGTACACAAGAAAAAAGATGAATTTAATGTCAACATACTAGTATAAATTATTTTTTGGGGAAAAATATCATGAAATGTTTTATGTTCACATAACCCACAAGAATTCTGCTCTCACTTGCCTAAAGGAATCTTAATGGTAAGTTGTAAGGGCCCTAAATTATGCAGCTTAAAAAATTAAACACTTAGTCAATACTTCATATTTCATTATGCTAAGTAGAACAAGATATTATTCAATTATGCCATAAAATAATTAACATATGGCTTCCACATCTAAATGATCTGAATAAATTCATTATTAAATTTCATTCTTGAAACTATGGATAATGTTAAGATAACGGTAATCAATATTAGGTTCTATTGATATGCCATACAAATATTCCTTATCTTCTTTAACTACTTAAGAAATTAAATAGGAACCACTGAAAGAAATCTTAACACAGTTTTTGGTAAATACAAATGATTTAGGGTTTTAGATGGTCTAAAAAGACAAATAATTAAACACTGGAATTCTCCTAAATAACTGCAGGAGTTGTATTTTTACCTTGGAAAACTTTCATCTATGAAACAACTTTGGCTTCAAACAGAAGGGCTATAATAAAACATCTCCTAGCTAGACTCAGGTTCAAGAGGTTCATAGTGGTGAACAGCAGAAAAGATGAAATGTTTCAATAAGCCCCTCAGGCTGATTTAGTTAGCATTCACGAAGTGAAATAACCTATACATCACATACCCTTTGTTAGCTTGTTGTTTAGAATAGATGTATGAGTCACTGGATTTTATTTTAGTAGTTGGGCAATGCAATTCTCCTTTTGCCCAAAATATTAAAATGCAGAAATGTGAAACTAAGAGAGGTAATGTCAAATCTTATATAGGTTGCTTATCGACCACTGTGATGGATCAAGAAGTTCTTTTGCTCTTGTCATTCCATGTTTCACTTTGATAGGCACAGATAGCAAATCATCTCAAGGAAAAAAAAATCTATTATTATACTAACAAGCAAACCGCAGTGTGTGTGGTTTATACACACACACACACACACACACACACATACATACATATATATTTAACTGTGTGAAGAGAAACAGTGCTTGGTGAGGGGGGGGGGGGAAGTCTTCAAAACCAGAAGAACTAACATTAGAGAAGAATAGGCAAGATTCTACCCTGAATCACTTCAGATACAAATTAATCCCTCTGGGAGTCTGGGGTGGGGTGGGGAGAAAACATATTTCTTTCTTTCTTCTTACTACTTGGAATTAATGAAGGTACCTGCAACAATGCTGGCAAGTTGCTGGGTTCTTGTGATGGGGTATATGCTACGTGCTTGAACGATTGCTGAAGCAATTTTCTTGGCATGCTTCTCCTCCCCGTATGCTCTTAGGATGGATGCAAGTGCCTGCTGATCTAAAGCATTCACAACATCAGCAGCGGTGGGCATGTCTGGGTACCTACACACAAAAAGAACCAATTAGTTCACTGACATCAATATTCATTGACAAAATTCCTCAATAGGACACCCATAGCACAAAAGTTAATAACTAGAATCAACAAATGGGACTTACTCAAACTAAAAAGTTTTTTCTCAGCAAAAGAAACAATAAGAGAGGTAAATAGGGAGCCTACATCATGGGAACAAATCTTTACTCCTCACACTTCAGATAGAGCCCTAATATCCAGAGTATACAAAGAACTCAAAAAATTAGACAATAAGATAAGAAATAACCCAATCAACAAATGGGCCAAGGACCTGAACAGACACTTCTCAGAGGAGGACATACAATCAATCAACAAGTACATGAAAAAATGCTCACCATCTCTAGCAGTCAGAGAAATGCAAATCAAAACCACCCTAAGATACCATCTCACTCCAGTAAGATTGGCAGCCATTATGAAGTCAAACAATAACAAGTGCTGGCGAGGATGTGGGGAAAAGGGTACACTTGTACATTGCTGGTGGGACTGCAAATTGGTGCAGCCAATTTGGAAAGCAGTATGGAGATTTCTTGGAAAGCTGGGAATGGAGCCACCATTTGACCCAGCTATTCCCCTTCTCGGTCTATTCCCTAAAGACCTAAAAAGAGCATGCTACAGGGACACTGCTACATCGATGTTCATAGCAGCACAATTCACAATAGCAAGACTGTGGAATCAACCTAGATGCCCTTCAATAGACGAATGGATAAAAAAATGTGGCATTTATACACAATGGAGTATTACTCTGCATTAAAAAATGACAAAATCATAGAATTTGCAGGGAAATGGATGGCATTAGAACAGATTATGCTAAGTGAAGCTAGCCAATCCCTAAAAAACAAATGCCAAATGTCTTCTTTGATATAAGGAGAGTAACTAAGAACAGAGTAGGGACGAAGAGCATGAGAAGAAGACTAACATTAAACTGGGATGAGAGGTGGGAGGGAAAGGGAGAGAGAAGGGAAATTGCATGGAAATGGAAGGAGACCCTCAGGGTTATACAAAATTTCATACAAGAGGAAGTGAGGGGAAAGGGGAAAATAATACAAGAGGGAGAAATGAATGACAGTAGAGGGGGTAGAGAGAGAAGAGGGGAGGGGAGGGGAGGGGAGGGGGGATAGTAGAGGATAGGAAAGGCAGCAGAATACAACAGACACTAGTATGGCAATATGTAAATCAATGGATGTGTAACTTATGTGATTCTGCAATTTGTATACAGGGTAAAAATGGGAGTTCATAACCCACTTGAATCAAAGTGTGAAATATGATATATCAAGAACTATGTAATGTTTTGAACAACCAACAATAAAAAAATTTAAAAAAAATATTCATTGACAAGAGGTAAAAACTTAAGAGTACTAGGATATAAAGTCAAACACACAAAAAACACATGCTAGGAGAGTTTCTGAGTTTTTTTAAAATTTTTTTTTAGTTGTAGATGGACACAATACATTATTAATTCACTCATTCATTCATTTTTATGTGGTGCTGAGAATCAAACCTAGGCTTCACATGTACTAGGTAAGTGCTCTACCAATGAGCTACAAACCCAGCTCAGTTTCTGAGATATTAAAGTTTGAGAATGAAATCTTACACAAATAACATAGATTCTCCATTTCAAATGCTCATCTTTATGGCAAGGGTCAGGGGTACTGTTTGTAACATCTATCAAGGTCAAAGCTTATGGAAGTTAAAAATATATTATTAACCATTAACCTTAATTCATAGACGAGGTATTATTATGTCTGTAGATTTGTATTTTTTCAAACTAAAATAAAGTAAAATGTTTAAGTCCTTTGGGTATATACCAAGGAATAGGATAACTGGGTCAAATGGTGGTTCCATTCCAAGTTTTCTGAGGAATCTCCCTACTGCTTTCCATTATGGTTGCACAAATTTGCAGCCCCACAAGCAATGTATGAATGTGCCTTTTTCCTCACCTGTATTTATTGTTACTTGTACTCCTGATAATTGCCATTCTGAATGGAGTAAGATGAAATCTCAGTTAGTTTTAATTTGCATTTCTCTGATTGTTACTGCTGATGAATATATATTTTTTGACCATTTGCATTTCTTCTTCTGTAAAGTGCCTGTTCAGTTTCTTAGTCCATTTATTAATTGGGTTATTTGTTGTTTTTTTATGGTATTAAGTTTTTTTGATTACTTTGTATATTCTGGAGATTAATGCTCTATATGAGGTGCAGGTGGCAAAGATTTTCTCCTATTCTTTGGCTTTTTCTTTTACATTCTTGATTGTTTCCTTTGCTGTGAAGATTTTTAGCTTGTTACCATCCCATTTATTGAATATTGATTTTATTTCTTGCACTTTAGGAGTCTTGTTGAGGAAGTTGGTTCCTAAGCCAATATGATGGAGATTTGGGCTTACTTTTTCTTCTAATAGGCACAGGGTCTCTGGTCTAATGCCTAGGTCCATGATCCACTTTGAGTTGAATCTTGTGCAGGGAGAGAGGGGTTCAATTTATTCTATTACATATGGATTTCCAGTTTTCCCAGTATCATTTATTGAAGATGCTATCTTTTCTCCAATGTATGTTTATGGTACCTTTGCTAGGATGAGATAACTGTATTTTGTGGGTTTGTCTCTGTGTCTTCTATTCTGTTCCATTCACTTTCATGCCTGTTTTTTTTTTTTTTTTGCCAATAACATGCTGTTTTTGTTACTATGGCCCTATGGTATAATTTAAGGTCTGGTATTGTAATGTCTCCTGATTCACTTTTCTTGTTAAGAATTACTGAATATTCTGGGCCTCTTATTTTTCCAAATGAATTTCAAGACTGATTTTTCTATTTCTATGAAGAATGCCACTGGAATTTTAATAGTAATTGTATTAAAACTGTATAGCACTTTTGGTAGTATGGCCATTTTGACAATATTAATTATGCCTATCCAAAAACATGGAAGAACTTTCCATTTTCTAAGGTATTCTTCAATTTCTTTAGTTTTCTGTATTTTCATTGAAGAGGTCTCTCACCTCTTTTGTTAGATTGATTCCCAAATATGTACATATATTGAGGCTACTGTGAATCGGATAAATTTCCTAATTTCTCTTTTACTGGATTAATCACTGATGTATAGAAATGTAATTGATTTATGGGTATTAATTTTATATCCCAGTACTTTGCTGAATTCATTTGTGAGTTCTAGAAGTTTTCTGGTGGAGTTTTTTTTTTTTTTTTCCTGTCTTCTAAATAAAGAATCAAGTTGTCAGCAAATAGTTGAAAGTTTGAGTTTTTCATTTTCTATTTGTATCTCTTTAATTAATTCTTCTAATTGTTCTGTCTAGAGTTTCAAGGACTATGTTGAATAGAAGTGGTGAAAGAGGGCATCCCTATCTTGTTCCAGTTTCTAGAGGGAATGCTTTCAATTTTTCTCCATTTAGAATGATGTTGGCCTTGGGTTTAACATATATAGCTTTTACAATGTTGAGTTATGTTCCTACGATCTCTAGTTTATGTAGTGTTTTGAACATGAATGTATGCTTCCTTTTGTCAAATGCCTTTTCTGCATCTATTACAATAATCACATGATTCTTGTCTTTAAGTTTATTGATGTGATGAATTACGTTTTAGATTTCTGTATGTTGAACCAAACTTGCATCCTTAGTGAAACTCACTTGATCATGATGCAGTATCTTCTAAATATGTTTTTGTATGTAATTTGCCAGTATTTTATCAAGAATTTCTGCATCTTGGCTGAGGTTGTGGCTCAGTGGTAGAATGCTTGTCTGGCATGTGTGAGGCCCTAGGTTTGATTCTCAGCACTGCATATATAAAATAAAGGCACTGTGTGCATTTATAACTAAAAAAAAAAAAATTTAAAAAAAAGAATTTTGGCATCTGCATTCATCATGCATATTGGTCTGAAATTTTCTTTCCTTGGTGTCTTGGTCTGGTTTCGGTGTCAGGGTGATGTTAGCTTCATAGAATGAGTTTGGAAGGGTTCCCTCCTTTTTTAATTCATGGTATAATTTCAAGAGGATTGGTGTTTGTTACTCTTTGAATGTCTGGTAGAACTCTGCTGAGAACTGGTGTGGTCCTGGGCTTTTCTTTGTTGGTAGGCTTTTGATGGCACCTTCAATTTCATTGCTTGAAAGTGATCTGTTCAAATTTTCTATATCCTTCTGATTTAATTTGGGTAGATCATATGTCTCTAGAAATTTGTCAATGTCTTTAAGTTTTTCTATTTTATTGGAGTAAAAATTTTCAAAATAGTTTCTGATTATCATGTGTATTTTAGTAGTGTCCATCATATTTCCTTTTCATCATGAATTAATTTTCTCTTTCATTCTCTTAGTTAGCTTGGCTAACAGTTTATCAATTTTATTTGTTTTTTCAAAGAACCAACTTTTTGCTTTATAAATTTTTTAAAATTTTAATTTTTTGTTTCAATTTCATTGATTTTTACTCTAATTTTATTTATTTCCTGTTTTCTATTGCTTTTGGTGTTGATTTGTTCTTTTTCTAGGGCTTTGAGATGTAACATTAGGTTGTTTATTTGGTGACTTTCTATATTTTAATGAATGAGCTTGATGCAATGAACTTTCCTCTTAGAATTGCCTTCATAATGTCCCAGAGATTTAGATATACTGTCTTGGTATTCTCATGTACCTTTAAATATTTTTTATTTCATCCATGATTTCTTCTGCTTTTCATTGTTCATTCATTAGTATATTATGTAGTCTACAGGTGTCAGAGTAGATTCTATTTTAAATTTTATTGTTGATTTCTAATTTCATTCCATTATGCTCTGATAGGATGCCAGGTATCATCTCTATTTTTTTTGTACTTGATAAGCGTTGCTTTGTGGTCTGAGATATGTTCTATTTTAGAGAAAGAACCATGTTCTGCTAAAAACAAAGTGTATTCAGTCATTTGTGAATGAAATATTCTATATATGTCTGTTAAGTCTAAATCGTTAATTATATTTTTAAATTCTATAGCTTCTTTATTTGGTTTTTGTTTGGAAGATTTATCCAGTGATGAGAGAGGTGTGTTAAAGTCACCCAGTATTATTGTGTTGTGGTATATTTGATTCTTGAAATTGAGAAGGGCCTGTTTGATATACATAGATGTACCATTGTTTGGGCTTTAAATATTTTTGATTGTTATGTCTTGTTGATGTATAATTCCCTTAAGCAGTATGAAATGACCTTCTTTGTCCCTTCTGATAAACTTTGGCTTGAAGTCCACTTTATCTGAAACAAGGATACAAACCCCTGCCTGTCTGAGATCCATGTGAATGGTATGTTTTATCCTATCCTTTTACCTTCAGTGTCCGGATGTCTTTGCCTATGAGGTGAGTCTCCTAGAGACAACATACTTTTAGGTCTTATTTTTTAATCCACTCTGCCAGTCTGTGTCTTTTGATTGATGAATTTAGTCTATTTATACTCAATGTTATTATTGAGAAATAATTTTTATTCCCTGTCAATTTTTGATTTGTTCCTGGTTTTTAATTTGAATTACTTTCTTCTTTGATTGGTTATTCTTCTTATGTAGTTTCCCCCTTTGCTGGTTTTCACTTTTATTTTTCATTTCTTCTTCATGAAAATATTTTATTGAGAATGTTTTGTAGTTCAGGCTTTCTAGTTTTAAATTTATTAACTTTTGTTCATCATGGAACGTTTTTATTTCACTGTCCAACCTCCTGAGTCTCTGATCTGCCTTGAATGTCCAGAATTAATTCTCAGTTAAGTACCTACTTTTCACCTTGCTGAGATGCTGCATGTCTGATTTCTTAGTTTCATGCCAGGAAGCAACCAAGAAAATGACCTTCTAATCTGCCATTTGAATCCAATTACCAGTCAACTTTTTAAGATAACTTTGCTCAACTTTAATCTCATCCATTACAAACTACAATTTTTTGAAAAGTCTTTACTCTTACAATATGGGAATGAACTAACTATTTTTTGGAGAGTGGGGGCAACCAGGGCTTGATCCCAGGGGTGTAACCGCTGAGCCCTATCTCTAGCCTTATTCTTTTTCTTTCTTTCTTTCTTTTTTTTTTTTTTTTTTTTTGAGACAGGTCTCACTAAATTGTTGAGGATGGCTTTGAACCTGTGATCCTCCTGCCTTAGCATCTTGAGTTATGGAGTTACAGATGTACAACACCACACCCAGGAGGAATGTACTATTAACTAGAAACTTTGTTCCTTGTATTTTGCAAGGCATTCTCCTTAACAAGGTATAGAAATAGCAGAAATTTGCTTAATATTTTATCATTTTTGTAAAACCATTTCAATCCCCAAATAGGAGAATATATTTTGACCTTTACTATTAGTCACTGGTTTTTAAAGGATTTTTATTGTTTTCTTTCATGATGACATTCTTCATTCTGTGAAGGCCAACGACATATGCAGAAGGTATTAGACTCAGAAAAAACAGGATTGTAACAAATATCAGTCTCTATCCAAATTAACAAAAGTCTTATTCCACCACAGGGAAAAACGCTAAATGTGAATAATTACCATGAGACAAACCAGTTTTTGGTAGAATAAGATGTGAGTTGCTCAGGCTGTGAGCCAGCACTGGTTTTTCACACAGATGCTAATCTAAGCTTTTAAAATTAATTCAGATACTCTTCTAGAATGTGACCCTTTTTGTGTTAATTTAACATATATGTACCCTATTTAAAAAATGGAGAATAAACACTAGTGTTCCCATAGGGGTGAGAATGAAAAGGAAGTGCAAAAGATATCTGATGCATAATGCTGTGTTTGATGTACCAAAAACTGCAGTTTTTCTCAAGCAAGTTCAATCATAGAACCCTCCATTTTTTTCAGTATTATAAAAGAATATGCATTAAAGATAGTTATTTTTGTTTCTCATAAGAGGTTTAGTTGGGCATGTAAAAATAAAGCCATTATTTCAGTATCCTAATATTCATTTGTATTACTGGTAACCTAAAAGCCCAATATGGTTTCAGTGAAAAAGACAATCAGTAGGGAAGTTATCCTCCACACTATTCTGTGTTAAGAACAGTAATTATTTTTCTTTTAGAATTCTAAGGCCAGAGAAATACTAAAATCTATAATGAGTAGTAAACAAAACTGATTTATTATGTCTGGGTAGTACTTGGTGTAGGTGTGTGATGGGAATTCTTCAGTCTTAAGAGGAAATTAAATTCAGAGTGCTTTTGTGAAATTGATTTTTTGTTTTAAGGAGAAATGTTTTATTGATACTCACCTGCCACCATCCATCCTCATGTCCAAGGGGCCATCCTTCCGAAGGGAAAAACCTCTTTCAGGAGCATCAAGTTGCATGGAGGAACACCCAAGATCCAAAAGAACTCCATTCAAAGTCCCTGGCTGCACTCCGGCTTTCATTAATAAGTCTTCTGCCTGGCTGAACTGGCCTAGCATAGCTCGGATCTGCTTACTGTAAATAAACCCAGGAGACAGAGAAAACACTCCTATTATATTAAAGTGTTTCTTAAAGAGAGCACATTCTATTATTAGATAATTTAATCAATATGTATTTACTGAGTATCAACCAATGGCTAGTGCAATACAAAAGAACATATAGATATCGAAACTATATATCTTGGTTTCAAACACCAGAGCTGATTTAATGTAATCTTATTCTTATAAATAAACACAATTTATTATATACCATTGGGAAGGTATACAATAGCTCATAAATCAGAAATCATAAAAAATTCATAAATTAGAAAAATTCCTTTGTCAATCCAGATTTTTAATTTTAAATAGTTTTAAATCTATTATATGGGTAGGAAAAAGAAACACATGCTATTTTATCAAAAGAATTACCTTAATGAATAAGACAGTTAAAATACAATAAATAATAGAACAAGAATCATATAAAGAAAATGTGATATATATACACAATGGAATTTCACTAAGCTCCCCCTCCCACACACAAAAAAGAAATCCTATCATCTTCAACAATATGGATGGAAGTGGAGATCAGTATGTTAAGTTAGTCTGTAACAGACAAGTACTGCATGATAGCACTCATATGTGGGACATAAAATACTTTTCAATATAGTAGAATGGTGCTTATTGGCAATGGAGGAGAGTTGGGTGGAGGGAGGAAATGTGAAAAGGTTGATCAATGGGCACTAAATTATAGATAGGAGCAAGATGTTCTGGTGTGTAGTAGGATGACTATAGGTAGGAATAATGTACTGTACATTGCAAAAAGCTGGAAGAAAAAAATTTGAGAGTTGTCACAATAAAGAAATGATAAATGGTTGAGCAGATAGATATGTTTAACCTGATTTAAACATTGTAATATACCCTTTATATATTTATATATATATATACATATATATGTATTTATATACACATATATATATAAATACATATATATGTATTGAAACATTGCATACTATCCCCAAATATGTAAAATTTTATGTGCCAGTTAATCATAAATTTAATTCAAAAAACAGAAATCAGAAAAGGCATGTCACATAAGTTCAATCCAATCATTTTAGTTTTCTTCATGATTTTCCTATAATTTAGGATGGGGTGCTATGCAGCTACACATTGGAGAAATGAAACTATGACTAAAATAAATGATTTCTTGAAGAGGCAGTGTTTTAGATCTCAGCAGAAATTCTGAAGTGAATGGAACATTCAGAATTAACTCAGGCAAGGAGTTAGAATCACCTTGTTGTTAGGCTTTCTCTTTCCTACACAAAGGGAGATGCTGCCTTCAGGGTTCCTCAGGAGCCCCAGGGCCTCAGGGCAACTGGCATTCATTTTGGAAGGGGAATGAGAAAAAAATAGGGCAGCTCTAAAGATGTCATTCCTCCGAGTGTAAAGGAAGATGGAGTGAGGTTGGATTTCAACAGTGTTGGGAAATTCATACTTATGTATTTGCTTACATATTAATGCTGTTTACAGGGAACTTCACAGTTCATTGTTTTATTTTTCTTAAATACTGTGATTTTTTAATTTCACTCACCAAATAGATATTGATTATCTTCTGTATGTCAGTGATTATGCTATGTAAAAGATATATAAAGGGTATATGAAGATTAATAGAGTATGTCTTTTGGAGCTTTGAGCTGAGAGAAGCAAGATGTATAAATAGTTTACAAAACAATCTGAATGAAGCAAATGATAAACAGATGAGCAAATTGCCCTGTTTTGGGAAAATATGAATGTTAATAATAACATTGGAAACCCTGAAACAATTAAATCTTGCCACTGAAAGGCAACTCACAAGTCATTTATGCCAATAAATTAACAAATATTTGAATCATCCCCCAATCCAATATTACTGCTAAGTAATGGGGAAAGGGAGGAGAAACAGTCTAAATCCCTTTCTTTTCACAACATTGGTGAAGAAGGGATTCCCATTCAAAGACTGTGGAGATGGTTAAAAAGACAATAACGAACACCAGAATTCATAAACTATATGTATTCACAACCTAGGAGAAGAAGACAAATTATGCCATGTCAGGTCACACAGATTATACTCAACAGAGTGAACAAGCAGAGCTGTGCTATTAAGAAGTTGGAGTGCCCCCTGGTTCCTACAGGTGGATGTGATTGGTTTGTTTGAACATAGACTGGTAGGGATCTGAACGTGCTAATCAATAACAGGCAGAAATGGTGCCTGATGCCTATAAAAAGAAGGGTTATTTGGCTAGGGAATCTTACCCACAAAAGCATCATTAGAAGGAAATCCTATGCTATAGCTATCATGATTCTCAGTTCTCCTTTTCTTGTATCTTCAGCCAGTCTCCATATAAAAAATCTTTCACCAGGATAGTTGCTCTTTTATGAAGTTGTGCCAGTTTGCTTATATGACTAAGTCTGAATTCTACATAATCAACACAGAATAAATTCTTACTTCCCTTGTTCAACTATTATATTACTATAGCTCAAAATCAAATAGTTTTGGAATTTATTTCATTGTTGAGCTATACTAACTCTAACTTTTTAGTCTTTTTCACATGCAATGCTGCTATGCCTGTTTCTTCTATTATGTATCTGGTATTTTTGTTAATTGCTTTTTATCTAAGTACAATTTTTGCCATACGTATTTTCCTTTCCTGTTTTTGAGACAGGGTCTCACTAAACTGCTGAGGCTGGCATCATTTGATGCCAGCCTCCCAGCCATTAAGTTTTATTAGTCTGTAGGCACAAAGCAGAGACCATCGCTAGTTTGATCATTTTATTAATCCTCTTCAGCAAGGAATTTAGAGTGAGCCAAAATAGTGGATGAATGCATAGTTTCATTTTAGGAACAATAAGATCAAACATTTGTAAAGTGCTTTTTATATGCCAGAACTGGTGCTTAGTCCTTTATGCCTACAAACTTATTTCATACTCAAAATAACCCTATGAGGTAGGTGACTGACTCACCTCAGATAAGAAAACAAGTTCAGACAGTGAAGTCAAGTCATACAGTTAGTAGGCAGTGAAATCAGAATATAAACTTAGTCCACTCTCGCCCCCGAGTCCATGTTCTTAGTTACTATACAACATTACCTCTCATGTTTCTATTTACTACATTTCAGATCTCCAACTCTTCATTATTACAATCTTGTCCTTATGTACAAATTTATCTTACTTTTCTAGTAAGATAAATTTACTAAATAATTGTTTTTGTTTGCCATTGTTTCATAGACATAGGTCTGCAGATTCAATTCTCACAAATATTTGCTGAATAGGGATTAGCTACCATGTACTGGATACAAGAATATGAAAATAAATAAGAACATACAATATAAAAGGGCACATCAACAAATATACATAAATCACCTTGGAGATAATTCACTTTTTTAAAGTAATAGAGGTATAGTGGAAAGGGGAAATGACATATTGCTTATGTTTAAATCTTGGCTCTGCTACTTATTAATCCTGTGGTAATGGGTAAGTTACTCTTCTCAGTTTCAGTTTTCTTGTATCTCATGTTGCTTAATTTTTCCCCCTCTGAGTGCATCTAGTATGACAGAAATACCTTAAATTCTGATGTTACAGTGAATCAGAACATGAGTATTCTGATGATTTAACCCCCAAAATCATTTCCTCATTTGTACTATGAAGACAATAGAACAATTTTAAACTTACACAGATTTTATGAAGGTGTATTAACTAACATATATAAGAATGTCAAGGCATTAAAAGGTCTTCAATAATATGACCTTTCTCTTCCTGCTTTAAGCTGTTTTTCTTTCCTCAGATAGAGTTTTGTCACTGTGCTGCCAATGAGAGTTGGGAACAATGGTGTTAGGGTCTGTAAACAAGTCAAGAGCTGCGGCACAATGGTAAGGATTTGTTCCAAATATACCAACTGCACGCTGAATATGACCTTTTGACTATGAAGAATTTTCTTTCACCTCTCTTAGGTACCATTATTTTTCTGTATTTCTCCTTCCTCTATACCATGCCTCTATTATACCAGGAGAATGGTTTACTTTTTAATGTTAATATTTACCACATAAAATTTTTCCATATGTACTTATATTCAAGATATTTTCATTATCATATTGATATGAGCACTGCTAAATATTATTAAATGATACCTTTGTCAGAGTATTTCCATAACTGTAGAGAAGAAATGAAAAGATATATATGCTCTGCATAATTTTCTAAAAATTTCTTGGTATAGCCCATAAATTTCTAAAAATTACTTGTCATAGCCCATAAAATCACAGAAATCTTTTTCACTTTATTTTTCCAGTCTTATTTCTCCTTCGGCTTTATTATGAATTGATTATATTGCTATACTTTCAAGCTCAGTGATCTTTTTTTTCTGTACTGTCTAATCTGACATAAATTTCGTTCAGTGAAATGTTTATTTCAGATATTAACAATACCATCTATGGAAGCTCCATTTTGATCTTTTAAAAAAGTCTTTCATTTTTCCATGTGAATTATACTTCAGTAAAGCTGTTAGCAAGAAAAAAAATATTATTTTTGTTCCTCTGTTTCCTTGTGTTTTCCTTTATATTCTTGATTATCTGGAGCATATTTATAAAAAAGTTTTCTTGTCCTTGTGTACATCACCTCTGTAATTTCTGGTTTGCCATCCCTTCACTGACTTATTTTTTGCATGTCTAGAAATTAATTGATTGAATCATTGACATTTTGAATTCAGTGTTGTCTCATGATAAATTTTCTATTTCCTTAAAGTATTAGACTTATGGGTCAATTTTATCTTTTAAAGGATTTTTTTTAAATTAAAAATTAATGTTAAATTAAAGTTAATGTTTACATTGGATTAAACATATCTACTTCCACAAACATGAAAATATTTTCTTTTAGCTTTCTGAAATGTACATTATCATAGTTTACAGTACTGTCCAACAGCATGCCAGAACTTCTTACTTTTACCTAACTATAACTTAGTATTTACTGACAACATTTCCCTTCCTTCATTCATCTCTAGGCTCTTTAGCC